GTTTCACAAATGTGCTAAGGCACTCATGAGAGTTCCACCCTCAAAAATAAATATCTTCCTCCAGGGATTTAGCTCATCAGTTCGGTGCCCTGCCTTGCAAGCGCAAGGACCGGAGTTCAATCCCCGGTACCAAACAAGCAAACAAAAAAAATTAAATATCTTCCAAAGGATGGCCCTTTCTAATGCCATCATCTTGGCCCTAGGATTTCAACAAAGGAATTTTGAGGGCACACAATCATTGTGGCCATAATAACAAGTGAGACAGTTTTTAGAACTGTTAAAATTCAGTCCTTTATCAGTTGGAAATGAGATTAAATAATTAAGGGGCCACTTGGTTTAGGTATTAAGGTTGATTTTATAAAGAGGGCATGCTGTTCAATGTATAGAGGAGTCAAGTGCATTTAACATACAATATGCATTAAATTTGATAATTCCATATTATATAACATATTATACTGACAATTAGCTGCACTATAAATGATTAAATAGTCTCAGTATTTAACTATCTGCTTTATATATTTGTATAAATCCTCCCCCAACACAGACAAAAATACATACTGTTAACCTAAACCTGGATGATGGGAGGTAACAACACCGCTACTTTCACTATCCCTTTAAAATATATGGATAGATATTTGGATCTATAGGACAGGAAACTAAAACATTCATTAACCCTAGATCAGTGTATCTCAAAATTTCAAATTGGAAAGTATTTTTTAAAGAAAAGTGCCTTACAATATAGGTACAGATTAGTGTATTCGTTCAAATAATGTATGTTGTATGTTTTATCATAATTACTGTGTTCATCAGTTTTTCCATAGCTGGACATAATACCTGCTACTCACAACTTAGAGGAGAAGGGTCTAAGTTTGGCTTATGTTTTAAGGTGAATTCAGTCCACGATCAGCTGACCCCAAGGCAGAAACATCATATGGGGCGGGAGGATGTGATGCAGCCAAGCCAGTTAGTTCAAGGTGGTCAGGAAGAAGCACAGAACAGTGCCAGAGAGGAAGAAGCAAGGAACCAGGTATAGACCCCAAGGCAGTGCTACCATAACCCACCCAGTAGTATATACTAACAATCCCCCAGGCAGAGCCAACCAAAGTGATATTCTATCTTTATTGCTGCGATTATATAATTCCTTAAATGTCTGTTATCATAAAATTACTCATAAATTATTTACCATATAAGACTAATTAACGGATTATAGGTTTTATAAAATAAAATCTGGGCAATTAAGCACTCACAAGTAGGGGGCTGGGGATGTAGCCAGTGGTAGAGTGCTTGTCTACATACACAACACCCTGGGTTCAATCATCGGTACTGAAAAAAATAGTTACAAAGGAAAAATTAATCAAATTTAAGTTACTCTCTGTGTGCTACCTCTCCCTTACTTTATCTTGTACTTTTTTTCCAACTTTCTGGAAAAATGCCAAAATCTTTTTTTTTTTTTTTTTTTTTTTTTTTTTTTTTTTTTTTTTTTTTTTTTTTTTTTTTTTTTTTTTTTTTTTTGCGGAAATTTATTCTATACGCCAGAGTAGTATACAGGTAAATATTCATTTTTTATATTTTTAAAAAGATTCCTAAAAGGAGAAGTAATGCAATATAGAAAGTAACACTGAAAAAGATGCATTAGGACCCTGGGAATGACCAGTTAAAACTATCTGACTACATTGCTTTTCATAAAATGTCCATCTGAGAAATAGGTAAGGGGGCTTCTGTGAATCAGGAATATGAGGTACAGACAGCATGGTCACGCCTTAGTCATGGCAAGAGGCACAGCTGGCTGACTTTGAAGACAGGCCAGTAGCAACCAAGGCTCCTTTACATTTACCATTAAGCACTAGTGATATATAGATTTACTGGTCACCTAGGCTCTCAAAAATATAGAAATCATCATCCCCAGTGTGAAGTTACTAAGAAATCTAGATGAAAATGACTGTTATTGATCAGTGCAGCCTTCACATCTCATTGAAAGCCCAAGTGGGAACATCATGTCCAAATCACGGTACATCGTCAAACACCAAATGATGGAACACTATATAAAGACTGAGTAATCAACAATGAAGAAGCCTCCTGCAGCAGAAGAGGGCATCAGAGTATATGCCACTTGATATATTAGACTCCAGTGCATATTCCTTGAAAATAAAGCTAGGCTTAGCTCTTTGTGAAATATTTGAAATGTGGTATCAAAAAGAAAAGAAGAAGAAGAAAGAAGAAGAAGAAAGAAGGAAGAAGACGAAGACGAAGATGAAGACGAAGACGAAGAAGAAGAAGAAGAAGAGGTGTTGCATTATACTGATTCTTTCTTACAAGCATTCTTTTCCAAATTTGACTCTATTTCTAAGTTTCTGGTGCTAATTTCAAGTATATACAGAATGCCTTGATGCAGAGCTAATCAGTATGTACACAAAAGGGGAGGCTTCTTTCTTACAGGATGCTGAGTAGGACAGAGACATGAAGAAAAACCTTCACAGGTAAAGTAAAATCATCAAGTCGCAACACACATGCTCTCTTGCTTGCTAAGGACAATGAGAAAATGCTCTCTCCCTACGTGTCCTCCGACTTAGCATTGCAAGGTACTTCTGACTAGCATTAACCAAGTTTGTCTTTTCTATTTTTCTCGTGTTTGCACAGCCAAATGTTAGTGCACTGCAGCTACTCATTCTGCTAGCACTGGCTCGCGGAAGCTGTGTTCAGCATTCCCCATCTTTCTATTCAGTAAAATCACATTAGTGTATGAAGTTGATGATGGAGGAGTATTTCTATCACCTAGGTCAGTGAACACTAGAAATCTCCCCATCTCCAAGACTCCACCATGAATAGATTAGCAAATATCAAACACCACGCCCCTTCCATACTGTGTACTGTTGTGCAATGGATCACACAATTTGCAAAAGAAAAAGGACTGAACAGTGCGCACACAGGAATAATTATCATTCTCACACATTTTAAAGAATCTTAAAGATCTTATATAGTTGTCTTGCTTCATTTCTGGTTTTTTTTACCTTTACTTTTATATTTCCTATCCGTTCTTTAAATCATTTATGTTTTACATTGTATTAGTGTCTCCTTTTCCTAAACTTCTGCTTACATTTATAAAAGTAACAAATTTATTAAATAAGAAAAAAAATCTAAAAAATTTTCCCTGACTCGTCTTCCCAATTATATTTCAAGCTACTTCTGAGAAGACAAGTTTTACATTGGGGGGGCAAATTTTGCTTAGCATGATGCACATTTTGGGTAACAAGAATATGGAGGTAAAGAAACAGATAAAGTCTTGGAATAGAGAAAATGATTTTAACTTTTAACATTTAAATGTCTTGGTTTAATATATTTCCCTCTTTAATCTTTATAGAGCTAGGAAAAGGAGTATAAATAAGAAGATCCAAGTATGGCCCCCTCTCTCCTCTTTCTATCCTCTGCATCTGTCCGGCAACTGTGAGAGAGGCCTCACACATTATCTTGGGAGTGTAACCAACCCTCTGATTTTGCCTGAGACTGTAGGGTTTTTCAGGCTCCAATAATTCAAATGTGGAACTGGTATAGTCCCAGGTACACCAAGCCTGGTTTTCCTCTGGATTAAAGAAAAGGCTTATGCCAAAAGGGTCTGATAGTATCACAGTGTCTTCTGGCCCAAGACTTCTAGGCTATGCTGGCACATGAACTCCAATAGGGCATCTTCTTTTCTCACAGGCTTGTTTTCCCACTAGAGTTATGGTGAATTCTCGGCAAGTAGTAAATAAATGAAGAAACAAATTTTACAATGTAAAATGCATCAAAGCATTTTCAATTTATCCTTTCTTTGTTTCAGTATTACACAGGCTACTTTTCTCACCACCACCCCTGCATCTCACTTTAGTCTTTACTGTACTATATTCAGAGGAATAAAAAGCTGTGGAAAGTTATTCAGTTGCCTTGAATTAAAAGACCAGGATTTCAAACTCGGTAAAATGGGCTTTAGATGACCATTTAGGCCCTTCTTGTGCATATACCATATGCTCTGGGTTCACATTATGCCATTCAGCTCCTCAAATCACAATCACACCGGCTATACTTTTCATTCCATATCCCATGCCCCAGCCTGGTCTATTTCGTAAAATTATGATGTATTATTATTATTATTATTTTAAATCTTCTCCTAGATTTGTAAGCTCAGAAGGACTACATGCTATTTACCTTTTCTCCATATTTAGCAACACAGCTTACAGGAACTATATAAGAAAAACTAGAAAGAAGTGAAGGAAGGGAGGGAAAGTAAGCAAATTTCTAACTAATGTGGGAAAATTCTCCACATTGGGAGTATTTATTTTTTTATCCTAATGTAGATATTGTGTAAAGTTCTACTTCAATGGCAAGAAATATTTTGTAACAATTGTTTTTTCTTCTCTGATAGAGAAAGGATTACCAGAATATATTCATATCGGAAGGATTTTGTAACCACAATATCAGGGATTTGTAAAATAACACAAAGGAATAAAGAAGCTGAAAAAATGTAAGTAGTGTTTGTAAACTATTCATAAATTCTCTTCCTATTTCTCTTGTCGCACCTCCTGATTCAATTCCTAATATTATTACAAAATCTAATATTAGAAGGAAAACAAAAAAGCATTAAAGTCAGTAAGATATATAAGATTATTAAAAAATAAACACTTGAATATAGTTTGTAGAGGCTTTAACATTTGAAAATATAAATGGTTTTAAATTTAAAAAATTTAGTTGGAATGTCAATTTTGTGGCTAACATTTGATAATAAAATCTTTCAGGTCAAATACGTAAGTTTTGTATTTATAAAACAATTATCAAGCAACATGTATAACAAATACCTTCTCTTTATTCCTCTCTCTACTACTCTTACGAATACCATTCACGATGCTCGTGCCAAACAATTGCTTTATGCAGAGAAGGTGGTCACCTACTCTTCAAGAAAGAGTGATCCATCTAAAAACACTGACAGTGAAATACTAGGGTTGCAAAAATGGGTTATTTAGCCAAATTGGAAAAATAATATATAGAATTGGAGGGAAATTTCTTAAACTGCAGAAGATTTTTTCTGTAAGACAAAGCCAAAGGTCAACATCCCAAGCCCAACATGGAAGCAAGAAATGGGTTCTATGACATTGCAGAGAGGCCACACTGTAGTCAGCAAGTGATGGCTTCTGTGACGTTGTAGACAGGCCACATTCCTCAGCCAGCTTCCTGTGGACGCCCACACTGGCCTCCATCTTGGTGCGGCTGGTTGCGCAGGCGCAGAGTTCCTCTTCACGTAAAATTGAGCGGTCTTGTCTTTGGCGGTCGCCAAACTCTATGGTTTCTGCAAAGAATGATGGGTAACGGATATAAGGTGCGGTTTGCGCGGACGCGTCCCTGAAACGAACGGCTGAGGTTCTGGTTGCTGCTATGGGTCGCCGTCCTGCTCGCTGTTACCGTTACTGTAAGAACAAGCCCTACCCGAAGTCTCGTTTCTGCCGAGGTGTCCCTAATGCGAAGATTCACATCTTTGACCTGGGTCGGAAGAAGGCTAAAGTGGACGAGTTCCCACTGTGTGCCCACATGGTGTCGGCTGAATACGAGCAGCTCTCGTCGGAGGCCCTGGAGGCCGCCCGTATCTGTGCCAACAAGTACATGGTGAAAACCTGCGGCAAAGACGGCTTTCACATCCGAGTACGGCTCCATCCCTTCCACGTCATCCGCATCAACAAGATGTTGTCCTGTGCTGGGGCTGACAGGCTGCAGACGGGTATGCGAGGTGCCTTTGGGAAGCCCCAGGGAACTGTGGCCAGGGTTCATATTGGCCAAGTCATCATGTCCATCCGCACCAAGCCTCTGAACAAGAAGCACGTGATTGAAGCTCTACGCAGGGCCAAGTTCAAGTTCCCGGGACGCCAGAAAATCCATATCTCCAAGAAGTGGGGCTTTACCAAGTTTAATGCTGATGAATTTGAAGAGAAGATGGCTGTGAAGCGCCTCCTCCCGGATGGTTGTGGGGTCAAGTACGTCCCCAATCACGGCCGGTTGGACAAATGGCTGGCACTGTGCTCGTGAAAGTTCTCCTGGACCGTGGTTCCCTGAATCATAAGTCTGACTTAAACTTGCCAATAAATTCTGTTTACTGGCAAAAACAAAACAAAATTTAAAAATTTATAAAAAGTTACCCAGTTTTAGAAATAGGCTGCTAAAGAAATAATTTTTAAATATTACATATTTTAATGGAAAATGCTTTCTTGAAGTGAAATTTATATGCCGTTTATAGAAAAACTTGCTATTCTGATCCAAACATTTTAAATGTATGAGAATACTAAAAAATGTTACAGTTTTGTTTGTAGTAAAGCCATAGATTATAGAAAAAATTGTAGTAAAAAATTGTAATAGCTATCATTTTGGATTAAAAACAGCTAGAGAAAACAAGATTTGTGTAAAAAATGCTTATTGTATATAGAAAGCTAAAGAATAGGGATGAAAATAGTGGTAGGTGTTGATATCTCAACTACAACCTCTGAAACTAATCTTATTTCTAAATTTGATTGCTTATATTTTCCTATAAACTTCTGTATATTAGTTTGAGAATTACCTATCACCTCTGATTATCAGCCTCAGGACAGTTGAGTATGCTGAAAAAGGCTTTTCTAGACAAGCCTTACATTATCTTACACCCAGGAGACAACAGTCCAATCTTTTCTTCATCACTGAAAAGTCATAGGTGTCAGCAGAGTTCATATTGCTTATATTTGGGGCTCAGTAGAATCCACAGAAGAGAGAAAATGACACTTAATCAGCTATTTGTGCCCTAAGAGGACCCTCAAGAGACTTTGCTATCTGTAGTTGTTTGCCCTACATTAGAGTTACATTGATCACAAAGGTGATTGTTGTTTTATTTTAGAAACTACATAAATTTCCTGGGTCTGTACTTCTTTTTTTTTTTTTTTTTTTTTTTTTTTTTTCCCC